CAAAAGAAGAAAATTAAAGGTGAATACAGGAAAGAGTAAGGTTATGAGGATAACAAAAAGATTAGGTGATGAAAGATTGAATATCAGATTGGAGGGAGAGAGTATGGAGGAGGTGAATGTATTCAGATATTTGGGAGTGGACGTGTCAGCGGATGGGTCTATGAAAGATGAGGTGAATCATAGAATTGATGAGGGAAAAAGAGTGAGTGGTGCACTTAGGAGTCTGTGGAGACAAAGAACTTTGTCCTTGGAGGCAAAGAGGGAATGTATGAGAGTATAGTTTTACCAACGCTCTTATATGGGTGTGAAGCGTGGGTGATGAATGTTGCAGCGAGGAGAAGGCTGGAGGCAGTGGAGATGTCATGTCTGAGGCAATGTGTGGTGTGAATATAATGCAGAGAATTCGTAGTTTGGAAGTTAGGAGGAGGTGCGGGATTACCAAAACTGTTGTCCAGAGGGCTGAGGAAGGGTTTGTTGAGGTGGTTCGACATGTAGAGAGAATGGAGCGAAACAGAATGACTTCAAGAGTGTATCAGTCTGTAGTGGAAGGAAGGCGGGGTAGGGGTCGGCCTAGGAAGGGTTGGAGGGAGGGGTAAAGGAGGTTTTGTGTGCGAGAGGGCTTGGACTTCCAGCAGGCATGCGTGAGCGTGTTTGATAGGAGTGAATGGAGACAAATGGTTTTTAATACTTGACGTGCTGTTGGAGTGTGAGCAAGGTAACATTTATGAAGGGATTCAGGGAAACCGGCGGGCCGGACTTGAGTCCTGGAGATGGGAAGTACAGTGCCTGCACTCTGAAGGAGGGGTGTTAATGTTGCAGTTTAAAAACTGTAGTGTAAAGCACCCTTCTGGCAAGACAGTGATGGAGTGAATGATGGTGAAAGTTTTTCTTTTTCGGGCCACCCTGCCTTGGTGGGAATCGGCCGGTGTGATAATAAAAAAAATAAAAAAATATAAGTGAACAGTATTTAGATAAGGCTAAAGAGGTTTTTGTGGCATTTATGGATTTGGAAAAGGCATATGATAGGGTGGATAGGGGAGCAATGTGGCAGATGTTGCAGGTGCATGGTATAGGAGGTAGGTTACTGAAAGCAGTGAAGAGTTTTTATGAGGACAGTGAGGCTCAAGTTAGAGTATGTAGGAAAGAGGGAGATTATTTCCCAGTAAAAGTAGGCCTTAGACAAGGATGTGTGATGTCACCGTGGTTGTTTAATATATTTATAGATGGTGTTATAAGAGAAGTAAATGCGAGGGTCTTGGCACGAGGCGTGGAGTTAAAAGATAAAGAATTACACATAAAGTGGGAGTTGTCACAGTTGCTCTTTGCTGATGACACTGTGCTCTTGGGAGATTCTGAAGAGAAGTTGCAAAGGTTGGTGGATGAATTTGGTAGGGTATGTAAAAGAAGAAAATTAAAAGTGAATACAGGAAAGAGTAAGGTTATGAGGATAACAAAAAGATTAGGTGATGAAAGATTGGATATCAGAGTGGAGGGAGAGAGTATGGAGGAGGTGAATGTATTCAGATATTTGGGAGTGGATGTGTCAGAGGATGGGTCTAGGAAAGATGAGATGAATCATAGAATTGATGAGGGGAAAAGGGTGAGCGGTGCTCTTAGGAGTCTGTGGAGACAGAACTTTGTCCTTGGAGGCAAAGAGGGAAATGTATGAGAGTATAGTTTTACCAACACTCTTATATGAGTGTGAAGCATGGGTGATGAATGTTGCAGCGAGGAGAAGGCTGGAGGCAGTGGAGATGTCATGTATGAGGGCAATGTGTGGTGTGAATATAATGCAGAGAATTCGTAGTTTGGAAGTTAGGAGGAGGTGCGAGATTGCCAAAACTGTTGTCCAGAGGGCTGAGGAAGGGTTGTTGAGGTGGTTCAGACATGTAGAGAGAATGGAGCAAAACAGAGTGTATCAGTCTGTAGTGGAAGGAAGGCGGGGTAGGGGTCGGCCTAGGAAAGGTTGGAGGGAGGGGGTAAAGGTTTTGTGTGCTAGGGGCTTGGACTTCCAGCAGGCATGCGAGAGCGTGTTTGATAGGAGTGAATGGAGACAAATGATTTTTAATACTTGACGTGCTGTTTTAGTGTGAGCAAAGTAACATTTATGAAGGGATTCAGGGAAACCGGCAGGCCGGACTTGAGTCCTGGAGATGGGAAGTACAGTGCCTGCACTCTGAAGGAGGGGTGTTAATGTTGCAGTTTAAAAACTGTAGTGTAAAGCACCTTTCTGGCAAGACAGTGATGGAGTGAATGATGGTGAAAGTTTTTCTTTTTCAGGTCACCCTGCCTTGGTGGGAATCGGCCGGTGTGCTAATAAAAAAATAATAATAAAAATAATTATTACAATTATGCAGTAGTCTGAATAACAGTAAAGTTATTATTTGTGTGGATAAAAATTCAAAATGAAAAGCAAGAGTAATATGAGAGGGGCCTCGAGACGTGACTAATGAACAGAGAAAATGTTATTATAGTGCCAGGAATGTCTGCAGTATTTGTTCTGAACCCTATTTTGAAATTGGCTTTTCTTGAATTTTGTGTGAAATTGGCCAAATCAGTAATTTCTGCTCACTTTATTGGGTAGTTAAAAAAACATAAATGGGCAGTTTCTTGTACTCAATTGATAAAATAAAAGGAGTCTATCTAAACAGCTATGAGTTTGGTTGACTGGAACAATGGAATTGGCCCAAAATAGGGCTCAGAGTGGGCAAAATTGCTTATGTGTAAATATCGCCAAGACCGCTGTCTTTATTAATGTCTGTATTTGTATTGTCTTTAATAAAATATAAAAAAACTTTGCGAGAGCATAATTCCATAACTTTTCCATCAAATTTCATGCTTTTGTTTCATTACCTTTGGTAGAAGATTCTGTCATTTCATAAGAAAAAATAATTTTTTCTTTTGGAAAATTCTTCGACTCTAGGAGCAAGTTTTTGAGTAGGGGCTGTGACCTCTCAAAGGGTTAAAACTTGGAAGTAAATTTCTGGCTAAGTATATCATGCTTAGCTAAGGGGTTATCAACTCCAATTAGATGATGAGTGCCTCTGTTTGTTTGGGTAGTCTTATTATATTTGGTTTTTACCCTATGTCCTCCCCCCATGTGTATCTTCCTCTATTGCAGTAACTCAAGTATTATCTGCATGGAGTTCATTAAGAGAGAGGATCTGCAAAAATCTAAGGCTTATCAAGAAAAAAATATTTTAGCACTTCAAACAAATACATGTAGCGTTTCAAGAACTGTGTGCCACAGCAAGGATTCTCCGGTACTGATCATGTCCAGTTACCAGCCGTCTTTCTTGTGTCACTGCCCATGCCCTACCATTTCAGTACTGACTGGTGGCCACACAAAACTGTAGTACCCAGAAATGCTTCAATGTATATGCTTGTGGTTAAGTCTGGAAATATGTGAAATATTATTCTGGATAGATACCTAAGGTAAGTACCCGACCAGCTTGGCTGTGCTTTGTATGTTGGATTACATACAGCCAGTGGTAACAGCCTGGTTCATCAGGCCCTGATCCACCAGGAGGCCTGGTCAAAGACTGGGTCGGGGAGGCATTGACCCTTGGAACAACCTCCAGGTAGGTAGACTCCCGGTAGCAGGTAGAACTAAAGGTACACAGTAAAATGGATTTTTTGTTATATTAAGAAAAAGCCCATTTTCTCTATTTGCACGTGCACTGAATGCTTGCTGCAGTGTGCAGCCATCCTCTTCAATTACTTCCAGCACATGGACCAATATGCCAGTGTAGATGACACCACTAGACTGTAAACAGTTATTGTGCTCAATTTTTTGTTTGTGTGATGAATCGATAAAGAAAGTTATTAGAAACATTAAAAGGGTTTAGCAGATCACCTACTCTCCATAAATTTAATGGACTAGCGGGCAGAAGAGGTAGCATATAATGCAGTATGCCTGTACAGTCATTCCTACAAAGTCTGCATGATAAATTTTATTTCAGATTGGGCAAAATTTTGGTTTCAAAGACCATATCTTTGTAATCAAATGCAATACATCAACTAATTAGCTAATACTGATAATCATAATAAAAATGAAAGTGGAGATTCATGAATAGATAAGATATTGAACCAGACAGCCACTGGCTACATGAATCTATTTGCTGGTTGCCCATCAATTCAAACACTGGATAATTTAAACTCAAAAACAAGGATGCCTGTGAATTTGTAGGGATGACTGTACTAATAAAAAACTAAATAAAATTAACTTAGAAGCAATATTTCAAACTAAATCAGTTGCAACTAACCTTGGAGAAGATAAAAATTATGGCACTACACATTCAGGTAGCATACAGGTGAAACAAAGTATGAATTCAGACAAATGGTGTATATGGAGAATGATGACAAAATTGGTGGGAAATTCTGCATGTTATATCCTGTTACAAAAGTGGGAAAATATTGAGTGACTAAAGATGCTTAGTCAATGCTTTTGGAAAAATCTGATTGCTCTCCTTACTATTAATGTTTCTATCCAGAAAACTCATTTTAATAAATGTCCTGTAACAGGTCAAACTTCATTAGGAAGTTTTCATACATCTCTTTATTTTTATTTTATCTGATCAGTAATAAAAAATGAGTTGTTTTATTATGAAATATTAACAAGTGGAAAAAGAAATATATAATCAAATTTTCAACTATTATATGAGTTTTCAGGAACTTAAAAGCTTAAGTTTTTAAAACAAGCATTATTACACGTACAAATTTAAATCAATAAAGAATATAAACTTAAGAGCATTTATACAGTAATGCTTTTCTCCTTTTCACTGCTGACATTTTGCAAAACTCTTAAAATAACATTAAATATAAGCCACACAGTGCTTGCAAATTATGTGAGAAATGCAAATCTGCAGCAAACTATAGTTTAAAACTCAGCCACAAAGAAAAAAACAACACACACTAAGATATCTTAAGCAATTTACTGTACTTTAACATAAACCCAATGGTGTATTAAACAAGCTTTGCAGACAGATATTTAAATATACCTCCACTCATATATCCTTGTCGAACATATTTCTTGAAGCGGCATCCAAACCATATAGGATGACTGGCATCATAAGAGCTCAGCATATAGCGAAGATTTTCTACAATAACGTACCTAAAACAAAGAATATTCAAAATATTACATACCTGCTATAAAGCTACTTCCAATAATTCATGACTTTACTGAAGTATCTTGATGCAAGTCATTACTGTTATAAATATAACTAAAACATTACAACAAGAGAATGGCAAAAATAATGCTATGACATTTTGTAAAATAAAATAGAGGAGGAATTAAGAAGAAATACTGACGTGTCATCATCAGCCTTCAAGAACCAGTCAGCATCATTATAATGGTTATTGTAAATATAGATGAAGGCAGCCTTCGTTTTTTCCCACAAGTGATCACGTCCTTCACCAACTTTTAGTGCCACAGCTCCAAGCTCCTTGTCTGTTTTTACATCAAAGATAGATTTATATATTTAGTGAATGACAAAGCAGAAAATAAATATGTATACAGTGGACCCCCGCATAACGATCACCTCCCAATGCGACCAATTATGTAAGTGTATTTATGTAAGTGCGTTTGTACGTGTATGTTTGGGGGTCTGAAATGGACTAATCTACTTCACAATATTCCTTATGGGAACAAATTCAGTCAGTACTGGCACCTGAACATACTTCTGGAATGAAAAAATATCGTTAACCAGGGGTCCACTGTATTTTAATACCCACTAACATCTAAAAAATCATAAAGCTATCTTCAAAGATATACAGGACCACTCCTCTTGCCCAATAAAAGACAATACCAAGAAATAAAAGCAAAATCCTTCTTACAGCTTTACTTTTTCTCATTGCTCATTGACGTTTGCTTATTGCACTATCATAGTGGAAGCAGGCTTCATACAGGAATTCAAAAATAGATGCAAAATGATTTAAATAAGTCAAGACCAAGAGCCAGAGCTCACTCTCACAAACTCAATTAGGTAATTACTTAAAATAAGAGATCTAGTAAATATTCATTTAATCCCTTCTGAGCAATTAATTCATGCAAAAATGCATTAATTTTTTATTTTGTAAATTCAACAAACAAAAAATATGAACTGAAGCAGCAATTATTAGCGTGGCTGCAACATGAATGCCATTTTGGCAATTTGTCTAACTGCATAAGAATAGGTACAGCAATGAGGCTTTTGAACACAAAAGATATTTTAAATGAAAACCATTTAAGAAATGCCAATTCAAGTTAGTCATCTTATTAGCACAGTATGCTTGAGACAGATGGTCATCAGTGCTGCATGTAACCTAATACTTAATTGGAATATAACTTACAAAGAAATGGAAATGGTTTCAATACATGATAGGGAATATTATTTGCCCAATAAAAGCCACTCATGTTCATTCACCTTTGCAAATGCTTAGTTTATGCTATTTAATATATTGCTCACATTCAAGCAGTGAACAGAATTTTAATTTAAGATTACTGCTAAACATTTTCATCATTAGCTTTTTCTTTATTTGAACTTTTTGTGTGCTAATGAATGTAACATTTATTCTAAGTCAAAACTTTGTACTTTTTATGATTTTATCTTGTCAGTTTTAGCATTTTAGGAGTCTGTGATATGTTTAAGGGGTTCATCCACTAACTATTCAGTCAGGAAAATGTTCAGTAAAGTAGACTGTATTTACCAGTAGAGTACTGTAAATACTACAATGCAATTATAGGGAATCTCTGTAGAAATAGGCTGTTTGACTCAGGAGTAGTTTCTACTGTACTCCTCCCCTCAACATCTACAATGGATAAATTCATGGTATTTTCTTAACACACTGGCCATTTTCCACAGAGATAAGGTGACCCAAAGAAATACATTTTTTTTCTTTTCAACGAACCGGCCGTATCCCACCGAGGCAGGGTAACCTAAAAAGAAAAATGAAAAATTTTTCTTTTTAAATATAGTAATTTATACAAGAAAAGGGATTACTGGCATTTTAGTCACCTCTTATGACAAGCATGGCTTACAGACGAAGAGTTCTTACTACATTCACCATCACTTGTTCTCTAACTGCCTTTCCAGAGGTGTACAGACATTACAGTTCAAATGACCCCACAAACTGCAACACCCCTAACCATTCTCGAGAGTGCAGATACTGTGCTACCTACCTAACCAGTTTCTCTGAATCTGGTTCATGGCTACTGTACAAACTTATATTTCAATGAGAAAAAACTATGCATTCTGGAACCCTGTAACCATATACAGCATTAGTCAAATATTTTGAAAAAAATTGGGTCATTTTTAAATTGACAACAGTAAAAATAATTCCTCTAATAGGTATGCAATATTTATGCTAGAAGATTATAACAGAAAATGTGTGTCATGCTTCTGGGAGTCAAATATGCAGATAATACTACAACACCATACATGTCAAAGTTCAATGAAATACACTGACAAGTAGTGAAATAATACCATAATTTAGTTACAGATCCACAAATGCAGCCAAATTTAACAAGCAATAGGACAAAAAATATAACTTGAAAATTGGTGGTCACTAAAATTGATGCAACAGAGTACAGTATTGTTAAAAGGATGGCAAACATAAATTTTAGTAATTTGGTTAAATATTTATATTATGTTTTATCAGAACTGGCATAGTTCCTAATTCTAATCTTGCTTAATTTACATTCCTAGTGTGCTGCTAAGTTAGCAAAAAGCTAACTACTTAAACAGTAGTCAATGAGTAATTCATTAATGAAACTTAATATACTAACATATTTTGTACTTGTAGTCCTGGTAAGAACCTATATAATACAGTACACTATATGACTGGGAGGTATAGAAGTACAGAAATGTAGTAAATTCTATGAATACTGAGTCAAGTCATCTGCTGCATTAGGCTGGACTTGACTCCTGATTTTAAACAATTAACTGAAAGTTTTTCCATTCAACATAGATTGGAAATGTAAACTATATTCAAGGTATGGTCCTGGAATAAACTACAGAATCTATATACAGTAAGGCCCCGCTTTACGGCGTTTTGCCTTATGGCGTTCCACTAATATGGCGATGTCAAATTATGACCAAAATTTGCTATACGGCAAGCGGTCTTTCAAATATGGCGCCCCCCACCCAGTTTGTTTACATTTTCCATGACCACATCTATTAGGTCAGGAAACTTTCCAAAATTTCAAGTGTTTTAAAGTTACTGCATATTTTATATATACTCTGATAATTATACTTATGTGTACCTGTACCTAAATATACTTACACACTGTGCTGGTGTGCAGGTACACATTAAAATATATTTACACACTGTGCTGGTGTGCAGGTACACATTAAAATATATTTACACACTGTACTGGTGTGCAGGTACACATAAAATATACTTACACACTGTGCTGGTGTGTAGGTACACATTAAAATATACTTACACACTGTACTGGTGTGCAGGTACACATAAAATATACTTACACACTGTGCTGGTGTGCAGGTACACATTCAAATATACTTACACACTGTACTGGTGTGCAGGTACACATTAAAATATACTTACACACTGTACTGGTGTGCAGGTACACATAAAATATACTTACACACTGTGCTGGTGTGCAGGTACACATTAAAATATACTTACACACTGTACTGGTGTGCAGGTACACATTCAAATATACTTACACAGTGCTGGTGTGCAGGTACACATTAAAATACTATACTTACACACTGTGCTGGTGTGCAGGTACACATTAAAATATACTTACACACTGTACTGGTGTGCAGGTACACATTAAAATGTACTTACACTCTGTACTGGTGTGCAGGTACACATTAAAATCGCTAAGTCTCTCTCTACTCATGACACCAACACTACGTAATAATAATCACTCTTTTTATTTATTTTATTAACACACTGGCCGATTCCCACCAAGGCAAGGTGGCCCGAAAAAGAAAAACTTTCACCATCATTCACTCCATCACTGTCTTGCCAGAAGGGTGCTTTACACTACAGTTTTTAAACTGCAACATTAACACCCCTCCTTCACTCTTGGGCACATTAAATGTCTTATTTTACAACAATACAGGCATTTTCATTAATCCATCTATGATATTTTCCTCAAAATTATATAAGAAACCTGTTACATAACATATAAACATGATACATACACTCACAGAATAAAAATTGACGTAAATATGATAATAGTTTACAACATAGCTGTGTAGGTAGTGTTGGAAGAATTATGTTTTCCCTAGTCAAACACTGGGGGATAACTGTAGAAAAATAGTCTTTTCGTATGCCTTCACTCTATATATAGCAATTCACGACCCTTGTGGGTTTAGTGCTTTTTATTAATAATAATAATAATAATAATAATTTTTTTTTTTTTTTTTTTTTTTTTTTTTTCAACAAGTCGGCCGTCTCCCACCGAGGCAGGGTGACCCAAAAAAGAAAGAAAATCCCCAAAAAGAAAATACTTTCATCATCATTCAACACTTTCACCACACTCGCACATTATCACTGTTTTTGCAGAGGTGCTCAGAATACAACAGTCTAAAGCATAAACATATAAAGATACACAACATATCCCTCCAAACTGCCAATATCCCAAACCCCTCCTTTAAAGTGCAGGCATTGTACTTCCCATTTCCAGGACTCAAGTCCGACTATATGAAAATAACCGGTTTCCCTGAATCCCTTCACTAAATATTACCCTGCTCAAAACTCCAACAGATCGTCAGGTCCCAAGTACCATTCGTCTCCATTCACTCCTATCTAACACGCTCACGCACGCTTGCTGGAAGTCCAAGCCCCTTACCACAAAACCTCCTTTACCCCCTCTCTCCAACCCTTTCGAGGACGACCCCTACCCCGCCTTCCTTCCCCTATAGATTTATATGCTTTCCATGTCATTCTACTGTGATCCATTCCCCTCTAAATGACCAAACCACCTCAACAACCCCTCTTCTGCCCTCTGACTAATACTTTTATTAACTCCACACCTTCTCCTAATTTCCACACTCCGAATTTTCTGCATAATATTTACACCACACATTGCCCTTAAACAGGACATCTCCGCTGCCTCCAACCGTCTCCTCGCTGCTGCATTTACCCCAAGCTTCACACCCATATAAGAGTGTTGGTACTACTATACTTTCATACATTCCCTTCTTTGCCTCCATAGATAACGTTTTTTGACTCCACATATACCTCAACGCACCACTCACCTTTTTTCCCTCATCAATTCTATGATTAACCTCATCCTTCATAAATCCATCCGCCGACACGTCAACTCCCAAGTATCTGAAAACATTCACTTCTTCCATACTCCTCCTCCCAATTTGATATCCAATTTTTCTTTATCTAAATCATTTGACACCCTCATCACCTTACTCTTTTCTATGTTCACTTTCAACTTTCTACCTTTACACACATTCCCAAACTCATCCACTAACCTTTGCAATTTTTCTTTAGAATCTCCCATAAGCA